CTGTGTGAAACAATGCGGGGGAACAATGGGCGCTTGAAGGATTTCAGGAGCGTTTTTTTCTGCCTTTACAGAGGGGCTGTGAACCATCCCACGGCYCCAGCCAGACCCGGATCCCCCGGGAAATGTGGGATGGGTGGGAAAAGCTGCTCTGAGCACCCCGAGGTGCTTTCCCAGCCCTTCCCTTGCTCCTCCCTGGCCGTGCCCCCATCCTCGGGTCCCTGGGAGCGGCGGGAGAGAGCCAAAAACCGAATCTGAGCGACCCTAGGGCTTCCTGCCAGCAGCTCCTCGGGCGGGTTTATTCATCACCCGCAGCCTTGGAGCTGCCGATATATTATAATATMATTTTTTACMATAATAATAATAATAATTCACCATCTCCCCGCGCTGCCCCGGGGCTCTGCTGCTGGCCCAGACACCCCGGAGGAGCCCCCGGGCTKCGGTTGTTCCTGTCAGCCGCTCCCACAGGCTGGGACGGAGGAGAGAAAACTCCAGGGAGGAAAACTCCACATCCAAAAATATCTCCATCCTCTCCTCTGTGAAGAGGCTGGAAACGGCCCAGAGCTGTCACCAGCTTTCCCTGCGAGGGAAGCACCGAGCCAGGGGAGCTTCTGCAGCTCCTCTCAGGAGCTGGGATTGCATTCTGAGCCATCCCAATTAAACTCGGKTTTAAAATGTAAATATTCCTTTGGGTCGGGTCAGCCCGGGGTCAGCGGGGGCTTTGCACGGGCTTTGCTCCAGCGCTGARTCCCTGCTCTGATCGGGCTCGAAATGGCACTTGGAGGTTGAATTCCGGGCTGTCACAGACATTTATCCTCCGTGTTTGGACAAGGGATTAAGGGACAATAAATGAATCAAAGGATGGAGCTCTCTAATCTGCCCAGAGCAGAGCTGAGCTGGAAACTCCCCCGGTTTGTTTGATTTTGGGGTCGAACACTCGGGGAACCCCAACCCTGCCTGGTTTGGAAATTCAGGCAAGGCAGGAGAACAAAACCAAACACTCCAAAGCTCCTCTCCTAAGAAAACCCTAAATTTCTTTAATTTCTGAGGCTGCAGCTTTAACGATCCCCACGCTGTTAACGAGGAGAGGTTTTCCCTGGCTCGGGCTCTSTGTTTGCAACTTCCAGAACCCATTACCCTCATGTTTTTGGAGAACGTGGCGACACATTCCAAACAAGGATTTTGCCAAAATCCTGGAGGGTGGATAATTGTCATCCCTGCTTCTGGGAAAAAGGGAGATTGTGAGCTTTAATTGAGTGCTGTGTTTTAAAACCAACCCACTCCAATGTGCCGGCGCGTTGCTTCTGATTTCCAGYAACCAAAATCCTTGGAAATTCTTCTTTTGTTTTGATTTCTCCTTTCTGCTTTTCAACAGCCTCTTTAATTAATGGAGTACGGGGAAAAAAAAAAAAAAATCAAACCAATTTGCTGCTCTTCAGTTCTAATTCTTGGTCTCCGCATGCTGTGATTTGAACTCGTGGTTGCATTTAAATGTCATTTTAAGCCATATTTCCACATTTATACGAAAACGAGAATGACAGATATTAGAAACATCTTGAGGAGTGGTGAGTTCGAGCGAGAATATTTGCCTTCTGTTGGAGGCAACCGAAACGAGGGAAAGCACAAGCGTTTCTGCAAAATGACAAATTCGCGGCGTTCTGGTGTAAACGAAATCTGTGTTTGTCAAAAGCGAGAGGCAACATGTTTGTGCTCAATGCTGGGGTGGTTTAAAGCTCTTTAAATCACAGGAATTTTGGTTTTTTTGGGGTTTTTTTTGCGGTGCCGAGGGGAGCGGGAGGTACCTGAGAGGCCGTGAAGGGTTTGATTCTCCACAGGAAGGGAGGGATGTCCAGCACCGAGATCTGCAGGCTGCAGCTGTTCCCTTTGAAATGCAGCARTTTGGGCTCCTCCAGCAGCTGCCCGCCCTGGAGCCGCTCATCCGAAACCACTTCCTGCCAGGGAGGAGCAGAGAACGCTTTAGGGTCAGGAAAAAAAACCCCAAAGAGCAGAGAATGGGGGCAGAGAATGCTTTTAGGGTCAGGAAAAAAAACCGAGGGCAGAGAACCCTTTTAGGATCAGGAGCAAACCCCAAAGAGCAAAGAATGAGGGGCAGAGAACACTTTTAGGGTCAGGAAAAAAACCCGAGGGCAGAGAAGCCTTTTAGGATCAGGAGCAAACCCTGAGGGGCAGAAAAAGAGGGGCAGAGAACACTTTTAGGGTCAGAAACAAACACCGAGGGGCAGAAAACGCTTTTGGGTTCAGGAAAAAAAACCCAAAGAGCAGAGAATGCTTTTAGGGTCAGGAACAAACCCTAAGGGGCAGAGAACATTTTGAGGGTCAGGAACAAACCCCAAAGAGCAGAGAACACTTTTAGGATCAGGAACAAACCCTAAATCCGATGAAAATCCCCCCTGGGAGGTTCCTGTCCCCCCCAGTCCCGGATGCAGCAGGAGTTTCCTACAAGGCTGGGTTGGGCACTGCCAGCCCCATTTCTGGGCAGGACAGAGGTGATGGGGACACTGAAATTTGGGTTTCTCCCCAATCCAACACTCCCAGAGCAGCCCAGCCGTGCTGGAAAACCTCTCGGGGCTTCTCAGAGCCCTCAAACTCTTTAGGGGAAACGATTCAGTTCTATTTCCCAATTCTGGGGCACTTCCAGGATCATTTTCTTCAGACCCTGAGCAATCTGGGCAGGGATTTGCTCTGCAGCCCTCCAGAGCTCTGTTCCAAGCAATATTTTTTATGTAATTCTGTGAAATTAAAATATAACAGTAAAAAAAAATAAAAAATAAAAAAAAAAAATCAGCCCTGCCTGTATTTCAGCCGTGTTTATTCCTGTGCTGTTACCCTGAAAACACCAGCGAGGAAGGAAAAGCTGCAGCAATCTTTAAAAATCATCTGGCAAGCAAGCAGTGCTTCCAAATTRCCTTAATCCCCATAAATTACACGAAATCTGTGTCCGTGGAAGGGGTTTAGGGCTCGTCAGGACCAAAGCCATCGTTACAGGAGCTCCTGGGATCGTGGTGACCTTTGAAAATTTGCTGCTGAGCTCTCTGACACCGAACTCAGGGATTTCTGTTCTAAACCAATTTTCACAGGCGTTTGGTTGGGTTTAACCCCTGCTGGTCAGGTTCATGTGAAGGGAGGAATTGAGAGGTTTYGGTTTTTGATTCCCAGCCCTGAAGGGAGCAGATTATTTCCCAGCTGTTCTCAGAATTCCTTGAGAGTGTTGGATTTTTTTATTTTTTTTAATGTTCTGTAAGTGCTGCTCTGCCTTCAGCGGGGTTTGGGTGAAGAACTGAGGGTTTGGGGCTCTGAAATTTTGAGATTCTGGACTTCCCCAGCACTCCCAGAACTTCCTCAAAGGCCGGGGCAGCTGCTGGAAGAGCGAGGTGAGGTTTCACACAGGAAAAAAAGTCAAAATCAAAGGAATTCTGTGCCTTCCACAGAACTGCAGCAGAAAGAATTAACTGTGAAACGCAACCTGGCAAACCCAACTCTGCTATTTTATCAAAAAAAATCTGTGATTTTCTCCAATTTCCCCGCTCATATTTACCTGCATTTCAGGGCTGTCTCACTCCATAAATACCCAGTTGTCTCACTATCTACACACACCCTGCTCTCGCTCCTGGGAACGCGGAAAACTGGTAATTATTCTTGTGATCATTTCCTCCAGACTCCTCAGGAAGACACCGGTACCCACTAATTGTCTAAGTGTTATAAAGAGGATAATTACGAAGCCATTGTGAGTCTCTAACAATCCTTTTGGTGGCTTGGCTTTTATTAGCAGCGCAGAGGCAGCAGCGTTTCCATTTCTGGGCGACGCGAGCGGGAAGGGAAAAAATCCATCTCGCAACCGTTTGCATTTCAGTTCCCCAAAGAAAACCGCTTTGTTAAAACCTCTGAGTTTACCAGAGAATGTCATTGTTTTGTCCTGGAACGTGGTGCAGAAAAATCATTCTCATTTCAATTGCCACTTGGGGATTGGGTTTTTTTTCCTTTTTTTTTTTTTTTTTTTTTTTTTCTTTTTTTCTTTTTTTTTTTTTTTTTTTTTTTTGTTTTTTTTGTTAAGAGGAAATGCAGGGTAATTGAATTTTTGTAAGCCAGGGCTGGGTCAGTTTGGGTAGTTGAGGAGGTGGTAAAAAGCAAATAAAGAGTTTGGCTGCCCTAAAATCCACAAGTGCAGAGAAATTAAAGGACTTAAAATAAGTGTGCAGCAGTGGCTTAAAAAATCCAATATTCTCATTGGATTCCATTTAGGGATCATCCCAGCGATAAAGGGACGTCGGAATTTTATGGGGAAAAAAAAATAAATAAATAAACCAAAGCGAGCCCAAAGGAGCAAAGGGAATCCGTTTACCTGGAATGCACAAGGGGTGTTATCCATACAATAAACCCTCAGATTGTAATCCAGGGAATTGCAAGACAGGCAGCCAAAAACGGCGACTTTCAGCTGTCGAACGGCGCAGTCTGAGATGGGTTCCCCAATTAGGGCATAAGTTCCAAAGCTGTTTAAGAGAATGTGACAGGCATAAGGATCCAACAGGCAGTAGCAAGAAGTAGTTTCCTCTTCCACAGACATCACTTCCTGCAAAACGAAATTCAGGTTTAAAGAGAATAAAGCCAAGCGAAGTCAATAGGGCTCGACAATAGGAGTCACGACATTAATTCTGTGGTTTTTATTCGAGTGCAGAGTGCTGCACACTCGGGAAGGGGAGAAGGGGGTTTGTTTCCCTGAGCAAATATTCCCAATTTAGCCCCGAGTCAGAGGAGGATTTATGGCCGTAGCTTGTGCAGGGCTCTGTGTGTACATRCAATAATAATGATGATGCGTAAGCAATTTTAGCATTTTTTTTTTTCAAGTGCTCTTGACTTTCTGGCTAATTTTTCCCCCCCGAATGTCAAGTTAAAAAATTACCTTGAAGGTTAAAGTCAATAAGCAAACCTTGAACAATGGCTGGGGTTTGACTTCCTTTCCAGAACACCCATTAGAGCCACGTTTACCTCCACCAACAGCTCCCTGAGCTCGGCCTAGCGGTGCCCTGCAGCCCCGCCATCTGTCCCTGTGTCCCCCTGTCCCCCTGTCCCCTGTCCCTGGGCTGGGAATGGTTTGAGGGACAGGCTGCAGCTCTGGGATCATCAGTGGGGTTTGGAGCCATAAAGGTGACCCTGTTCTGCACACCTTGGTGAAACAGCTGAATTGTTTCTGCCGCTTCTTCTCAAAACTTCTCAAAACTCAAAACTCGTTTTTTTTTTGTGGCAATATTTTCTCGCTGGCACCTGCTCCCCAAGGTTTGTCCCCGGTGCCACCCTGGGCACGGGCTGGGGCTGAGCTCACCTCCCACTTGCCGTGGGGCGTCCTCCTCTTGAGGCGGATGCTCCAGTGCTGCGGGTCGGCGTGGGCGCAGTGCGGGATGCTCAGGGCGATCGGGGTGCTGACCCGCAGCTCGGGGGGCCCGCAGCTCACCTCGGGGCCCAGCAGCACCTCGGGGCCCTCGGGCTCCAGGCTGGGGGCGGCAGAGACAAGAATTCAGCAGCGAGAATTCAGCGGAAGGGTTTTGGTTGGAACCCAAAGCACCCCCCTCCTTGCGCTCGATTCGCGGGGGAAGCGGCAGCTGCAGATGAAACGAACCCATTAGACCCCGTCCCGGTGCAATCAGGGGGCTGGTCACTTTAGGATTCTGCTATTTAAAATCCATTTCGATTTGTTTAACCCAAATCCAGCGCTGAGATTGCTGAGTGCCAGTCAGCCCCGCTCCCAGCGCCAGCTGCTCCTGAGCCCGGCATGCTCTGCCTTCAAACGCTGCCATCAACAATATTTTCACAGGAGCCGAGATAAAACAAATTACGGCTTAAAAAACACAGGCTCATAAATTTTTTTTGCAGATTGAGTGTGATCTGCCTGCTTTGAAAAGCCATTTATATTCTGCAG